CCATTTTTGCTCATTTCTCGGAGGCAAAATGAGCAAGAACGCTCATTTGTACATCATTCTAGAGAGAAATAAATGGCCTTTTTAGAAAGTGAACCCTGGATGGAGAAATGTTGGCAGTTTTCTCAAAAAAAGGCTTGAATTCAGGAAGTTTTAGATTTGCGTGGTTTTTTGATGAGTTGCAAAATCCTCTTGAACATGACGCTGCTTTTTTCGAAGTTTCTCAAGAACCATTCGAGCCAGATAATTCGTTTTGGCACCGTTCGATAGAGAATTCAATGGGGGGGGGGTCGTTACCCCCATGACCCCCCCCTTGGATCCGCCCTAGCCATATAGAGAGTGTTTTGTCCAATCGGACGTTGTTACGTGCTTTGCTTTGTCGAGTGGTTTTCCAGTACTAAATTTTTAAAATTTGCAGTAGCTTTATTTTCAAAGCCCCCAAGAATCCGGCTTTTGAGCCCAACCTGTGAACTTTTTGCCATCAACAGCAGACATGCAGAAAACCCCGCCAGTTCCACGCTAATACCGAAAAAGTTACACTTTTTCCTTGGAAAAAAGATTCTTCTTCACTTTCGTCACGCACTAGTGCCTTGCACCTTCAGCAGATCAATCGGATCCATTTCAATCTAGCCAAAGAGGCAGCAAGAGACCAGGAGGAGCTGGCCGATATTTCGCAACTGGGCAAAGAGAGGCAGGATCCGGGACTGTTCAGTACGGTAAAATCCACTCTGAACAGTTTGCTGGACCCTCCAGAAGCCAGCTTTCTTATGGTCATTTTTGGCGGTCACTTGCATGCGATTGCAGACCCACACAGTCCCATCGTGCAGGGCATCAAGTACGTGATAGAGAACGCCGATATTGAAAACACCTCAGTCGTTGTTACAGGTGAATTACAGGTCACATAGACGTGATTATCACGGAAAACTGACGTCCAATAACATCAATTTTGGGGGGATTTTGGCTGACGAATAGTGTTGCAGGGTCGTGTGCCGCTGAGGAAAGTGGGCGGAGCAACCACAGCGCCCACACCGTGCCAGTATATGCAAAAGGTGGGGTTTTCCAGGGTTTTATGGAAAATTTATGGAAACGGTTGAACAATTGGGGGATTTAGGGCCGCATGGTGCAGCTTTATCCGAGTGCAGGCTGCTCTACGACATTCCGCTGGTGATGAGGAAAATTTTGGAGCTGCAGTCTGGCACAGGTGACGCAAGATTTCCACCAAATCGTTAAAAGTTGCACTTGCTGTTTCTTCGCAGGGCGGGGCTTTCCGGATGAAGCCTCTTAACGCAGCAACTGATGGAAGATTATTTGTTCCAATTTGTGTCAATAAAGCGATTTTTTTGTCCCAAATTGAGTGAGATACAAAGGGGTAAAAGGCCCTTCTACAGAGTTAGAAAATTTCAAATTGCTACATCTGTTATTCTGGAAGATACGAATTTTTGAACGAGAGAGTGCTGTTGAATCAAACCTTCCATTTTGAGACCGATATTTACTGAGTTAGCAAAGATCAAGATTTT